CATCAGCTCCTGCAAGCACAGCGACTGTGCAGTCAAGGCCTGCGCGCTGGCCGCACGTCATCATCTTCATGCCTGAAGATCCATCAAGCAACCTACGGCTTCTGAATAGGCAAGCCCTTTCCGTTGCTCTCGAATGTGCGGTGCCACATCAAATTAAGGACGTACGAGTAAACCCAAGGAAGAACATTCTCGCCATAGACGTTCACGATGTGAGTGCGCTAGGACAGCTGCAGCAAATGACTGAGCTAGGTGGCATTAAAATGCGCCCCTTTATCCCGATAGATGATAAATCAATTGCCGGTGTAATTTATGACATCGACATTGCCATTCCTAATGCTGACTTGTCTACCCTCATCAAGCCTGCAAACGAGGGAACTGTCAGTACGCAAGTGCGGCGCCTTGGAAATACGCGCTGCGTAAAAATGTTTTTCAAGAAAGATTGCATACCGTCCCACGTTAAAGTTGGACATTTTCGACATCCGGTTCGACCATTTATCCAAAAGCCACTTCAATGTCTTCATTGCTTCAGGCTAGGACACGTCAAGGGCGTATGCCCCAACTTACGACTGTGTCCCCGCTGCGCTGAACCTCATGCTGTAAACGCCTGTCAGGCGAATACTCTGAAGTGTGCCAACTGCAGCGGTCCTCATGCTGCCCCGTCGAAAGACTGTCCTCGAATCCACAAGGAGCGCGCGGTTCTCAGACAAATGGCCTGAGACAACTCGACACACAGGGAGGCAGCCGAAGTAGTCCGGCGTCGGCGTCGACGTCGGCATCATCGAAAGTCTTCAAAGAAGGCACATTCCCGAGACGCTCCTTTCCACTCTTTAGCAGTTCCATCCAGTAGCGCCGCGAAAGGGCCCGCCACTTCTACGAAAGAAACATAGAAGCCTCCTTCTCTGGAGGAATGGCCCACGCTCCTGACGCGCTTTTCTGCCAAGGAATCTCTGCAGGTTGTGGCCACACAAGATCCATCTCCAACCATGGAAGATTTGCCTAAAACTGATCGTCAAGTGATCTCGGTGCTCCGTTTCCTCATAGAAGCCATCCGAGCGATATTAGTCGACATGAAGACACCATCTGCTCGAAGCGCACTTGGACTATTGGACGCCCTAAGCCCAGTGCTTGAATCTCTCACCTAGGAAGATGGCTACTCACACCTCAACATTTCGTAAAGAAGTCAAGGCTGCATCCCTCATCCAATGGAACGCCAGAGGACTAAAATCACGCCTTTCAGATTTTCGTCAGTTTGTGTTTACCAACATGTTTCCAATCATCGTCATTTGTGAACCCAATTTGTCGAAACCAATAAGACTATCGGGGTACGAAGCTGTCATGTCTTCAACAAACGGTGCGTGCAGCAAACTCATCGTCTTTGTTCGTCGTGAACTGACGTATAATGTGCAACCAATTGCACCTCACGATGACAATCAGTATGTCTGCATCACTGTGAAAAAAAAACAAACTCATGTTTACTCTCATAGGCGTTTATATATCGCCGTTGAATAATCTAGATTCCAGGAGATTAGCGGATATTTTGAGAGTGTGTCCTGCACCATGGGTCCTCATAGGTGATTTCAATGTGCACAATCATGCATAGGAAAGTACGCGGACAAATGCAAGAGGACGCAGGTTAGCAAACATCGCCTACAGCTATGGCCTTACTCTCCTGAACGACGGCAGCCCCACTTTTCTTCGAGGGGTGACATACGGCAGCTGTCTCGACTTTACCTTTGTCTCCACCTCACTCGCGAGATACGTCAAGTGGTTTCCAGATGTTGAGACACGAGGAAGTGATCACATTCCAATCTACCTTAACATCAAAGGCTTGTCTAGTTATGGTCCACGGACGACCATTCGAGCAGTCTACTGGCCCAACTTCAAATCTGACATGGAAGATGCTTGCAGCGATGGTCTACGATCTGGGTTAGAGGAAACAATTAAGAGCACAATGGAAAACGCCACTCGCATGGTGACAATATCTTCCACACGAAACGACTTTGATATAGAGTTGGAGCGACTCCGAGCACTGCGACGCCTGGCGGAGCGTCGGTATCAGCGTACAAAACCAATTCACTATCTTAGGGCAGCCAGGAGGATGCGAAAGAAGATTCGGCGTCGCATGGATAGATTAGCGTCGGAACGACGGACAACGTTTTGCCAGTCACTAGAACCTCGCAAGCCACTCTCACACATTTGGAGAACGGCGCAAGGTCTGCGTCACCCTACGGAACAGCGCTTTCCATTCAAAGCGCTCGCGCTATTTCAAGGGAGGCAAGGCATCAATGTCGCAGAAGATTTCTGTGCGCAGATCGCCAACCAAGTCACTCGTCCAGATTCTCCAGTGAGAGGTGACGTCCCCCGTTCCCGTGACTACCACATGAACCTCTTTTTACAATGGAGGAGCTTGAGGCGGCACTAGCTCTCTGCAGGCGTTCAACTTCTCCGGGCCCAGATGGTATTCCGTACCGAACCTTGTGCAACCTTGGGGAAGTTGCAAGGAGAGAACTGTTGAGCCTCTACAACATCTCGTGGCAGGATGGCAATGTTCCTGATGACTGGAAAGTAAGCCGCTTCCCATCTTGAAGCAGGGCAAATCTCCACTCGAACTTACCTCATACCACCCAATAGCACTGGCCAGCTGCGTAGGGAAGATAATGGAACGGATGATACTAGGCTGTCTGGAGTGGTATCTTGAATACTACAAAACCTATCCCAATTCCATGGCTCGTTTCTGACGCGACCGCTCTTCCAATGACATTGTCGTTGATTTAGTTTTGTACGTTCAGCACGAAAGATCATGTAAGCGACTATCTACAGCTTTGTTTCTAGATATGAAAGGCGCGTATAATAATGTACTACATGAAGCCATTTGGGGTGCTCTTGCGGTAGTTGGCCTTGGCATTCGAGTCTTTCGGTGGATTTCGAGTTACCTGGCTGCAAGATCATTTTTTGTGTTAACGGAAGATGGCCCAACTATGCAACACTATACTTCCAGGGGTGTTCCTCAAGGCGGAGTTCTTAGCCCGACGCTATTCAATCTTGCACTAATTGGCCTTGCTGAATACTTGCCAGGCACCATTAAAATTTCAATATACGCAGACGATATCTGTGTCTAGACATCAGCAGACAGACGTTCTCAGATATGTTCCCGGCTTCAAAAAGCAGCAACTATGATTGCCAACTACTTGTTCAAACAACATCTCGGCATATCACCAGAAAAGTGCGCGCTGGTGGCTTTCACTCGCAAAGCAATGACCCCTTATTTCATCTCAATCTGCGGGCGACCGATTTGTTACGCCAAAATCCAGCGGTTTATGGGCATCATTATTGATAGGGACCTCTGTTGGAGTCCGCATGTGACCTATATGAAGAAGCGCCTGACCGCTATTTCCCAACTGTTCAAGTTCCTGGCAGGAAAGACGTGGGGGATGTCAGTAGACACAATGATGGAGCTCTACAGGGCCCTGTTTTTTGGTTTTTTCAGATATAGCTTGCCCGTCCTTAGCAATACCTGCAAGACCAATGTTCGTGTTCTACAGGCAGTACAATCCCAAGCGCTGAGAGTGTGCCTCGGTCTGCCCAGATGTACGTCAACAGAAACAACAATTGCAATTGCTGGTGACTATCCGATACAAACTCACATTGTTGTAGAAGTCCTGAGAACGCACATCAGACACTTCGCACGTGCTCCCTGCCATCACCTTGCACTGTCGCCTTCAGAGAGGCGCCAAGCATCGTTCGCCAAAATGATTGTGAAATACAACGATAAACTTCCCTCGGGCTTCACTCCTGCATCTAAACCATCCATACCACCTTGGTGTCTTATTCGACCCACAGTGCATCTTAGTTTACCAGGGATCCGGGGGAAATTTGAGCTTTCGTCGCCTGTGTTGAAACAACTGTCTCTTCTTCTTTTGCACGAGAAATATTCAGACAGCATACATGTATACACCGATGGTTCCACGAACCATCAGTGTTCGTCAGGGCAGTAGTTATCCCAGCAAGAGGTGTTTCCATCAGCTTTAGGACTGACCACTCCACGGCATCTACAGCAGCAGAACTAGCTGCTTTGCGCGCTGCACTTTGTGTAGTCAATTGGGAACCACCGCAACAATGGTTGATTTTCAGCGACTCAAGGGCCGCCCTACAATCTGTGCTCTCAGAAGTGTGTCGTGGGCCATACGAACAGCTTGTTTTCGAAATTCGATGCCTTCTCCACACTTCACACGAGAAATGGCATCATGTGACGCTTCAATGGCTGCCAAGTGTTTGCGGCATCATAGGGAACGAACATGCCGGTACTGCCGCGCGGGCAGCCCTTGAAGGAACACGAGAAAAAGCCATACCACTTTCGAGGACAGATGCTGCCAGTAGTCTTCGACGACTTGCGCGTGAATTCACGTTTTCACTAGGGTGCCCACCAAGCATCTATACGAATCGTCAACACCACCTGTCCTCTTTCATGACTCTCCACATGCCCACTGGACTCGACCGAAGAGAAAACACCCTTCTTCATCGCTTATGGCTAGGAGTGGCATTTACAAAATCTTATTCGTTTGTCATAGGAATGGCTGACAACGCTCTCTGCGATGCCTGTCATTGCGAAGAGACGCTACACCACATCCTGTGTGACAGTCCGTTGTATGAATTCCAGAGACAGTCACTGGCGTCCGCTTTTGCGCGCATCGACAACAACCAAATGTCTGCGAACACTATTCTGTCAAGTTTCCGAGAGAAGACATTGCAACAGAAGACGAGGAAACCTCTGTTGAATTTCCTACTCGACATCGACTTGAACAAGCGACTGTAGCAGCAATGTCACACACCACGGAAGACAAGACTGGACTATGACTGAGTGTGCGCGCGTGTGCTGCCGAATGTGCTGTTTCTCTCTTCCCTCTCTGCTCTCTTTCATTTGCCCCATCCCTCTCCCATGCGCATTGTAGCAAACCAGCTGCCTATGGGCTGGTTAACAACCGGGTGGGCTCGGTGACTGCACCACAATGCAGCCATCTAATCCACTTACCTTTGCAATGCAGACGACCATACTTGTGTTTGCCAGCCTGCAGCTGTCGAACATGATAGGCCTATCCTCGGGGGCGTCATCTATGTTGGTGCTGCCGGGCTCCGAAAGCGAGCCAGGCTCCTGCCGCCTACTACGCACCAACTGCTCGTCCCCACCGGATATTACGTCGGAGGAACTACTATCACCGGAAATCACCGTGCTATGGAAGGCCGCATCGTCATCAACCACAGCATCATCAAGTATAAAGGAACATCACCCGCTGACGCCACTTCGTGGGCTCGGTGACTGCACCACAATGCAACCATCTAATCCACTTACCTTTGCAATGCAGGTCAGTAAATCGTATGTCCTCTTCGCTAAAAAGTCGAGTAATTACTTCCTGGTGCAGTTCCCGAGCCCCCACTGCTGTATTACTATTGCTGTTGAGTGTGCTCATATAATTCACTCGTTGCTGATGTTATCGGGTGACGTCGAAACTAATCCTGGCCCTAACGGAAACGCTGCTATTCTTACTGAGCTACAAAAGCTAAGTGCCGGCCAGGCCCAGCTGATTGCCGAAGTTCAGAGTTTGAAATCTCAACTAAGCACAACGGATAAAAGAATAACAGACTTAAACAAACGAATGGGCGATCTCGAAACACATTACCAAACTCTTCTTCCCCTCAGAAATGATATCGAAAAAACACAGACTAACGTAATCAACATGACTAAAAAAATTCAAGAGCTAGAAACTTCCCTGGATGACGCTGAAAACAGGTCGCGCCGGAATAACCTTCTATTCTACGGCATCCCTGACCCCACTAGGAATGAAACGTGGGCTGAATCTGAAAAAATGATAATCGATATCTGCAACAATAACCTTGGACTAACAGTGCAGCCTAACGACATAGAACGCGCACATCGTCTCGGTATTCATTCACTAAACCGAAATCGTCCCATAATTGTGAAATTTTTATCATACAAAACCAGAGATGCACTTTTATCAAACGGCAGGAAACTGAAGAACACTAACTACAGCATCGGGGAGGACTTTTCCCGCCCCGTTCAATATGCGCGCAAGCAATTACTTGCATTTGCAAAAACACGTTCGGACAAGTTCTCCTTGCGGTTCAAAACGCTGCACGTCGGGTCGAAGCGCTATATATTTGACGCATCATCACACACGGTTAAGGAAATTGCATAGCGGTTACCCCGCCAACAAAGAGCAATAAAACGCCAAACGGCTTCCCCATGTCATGTTCTCTCGTTTTCCGTAATATTCACTAACATACGTAGCCTTCTTCCAAAACGTGAACTCATATCCAACATTATCTCGTCATCAAAAAGCAACATACTCGTATTAACAGAAACGTGGCTTACCAGCGATATAACGGATGCGGAAATATTAACTGACTTACAGGACTTCCACGTGTACCGAAATGACCGAAATGGCTCACGGGGGGGCGGAGTACTTATCGCAGTTCATCGGGGCATATCTTGCTCCGTTGTTAACGTCGATTCCGATACCGAATCCCTGTGGCTAATTTGTCGTACTAACACCGTAACTGTCCTACTTGGCGTCTGCTACAGGCCCCCGCAAACGGATCCAAATTTTCCATGTCATCTGAACAATTCCATTCAAAAACTTACTTCCGCTTACCCAAAGGCTCGCATTCTTCTGTTCGGTGATTTTAACTACCCTAATATTGACTGGCAAAACATAGTTACTTCTACATTATCATGTCACGCAGAGGCGAAAAACTTCCTCGATGTATGTCTCAACTTTAACCTTACACAATTAGTCGCCCAACCAACCCGTGTCACACGAGGATCAGCAAATATTCTCGACCTGATAATAACCAATAGCCCCGAGAACCTATTATCTATTACTTACCTTCCTGAGATCAGCGACCACAAGGTCATACATGCTTTATTTTCATTTACCTCGACCAAAAAACAGACGACTAATAAAACAATTGTTCTTTATGATAAGGGTAACTATAGTGCAATATCTGAAGATCTCAGTAACTCTTTTAATCAGTATGAATCTACATTTCACACGCGCTCAGTTCATGACAACTGGTTGATCTTTAAGGACAAAGTAAATCACCTCTCTGATATGTTTATCCCGAAGATTACTTTTCAAACTAACCGCAATAAACCATGGTTTTCTCGGCATTTAAAAAAACTTGAAAACAAAAAGAAACGACTTTTTCGTACCGCCAAACGCAACGGCAAGCCTACTGCATGGCAAAATACATCGAAGCTGAAAAATCATATTTGCTATCCGTTCGTAAAGCCAAATACTCGTTTTACCATATAGACTTACCTAATCTCTTAATCAGGAACCCCAAGCAATTCTGGCAAGTTCTAAACCCCACACATCCTTCCGATATTAAACTAACGAATGATTCACACGAGACAGTGACTGACCATGATTGCGCAGAAATATTCAACGAAGCATTTGCATCTGTCTTCACTACTGAACTTGACATGCCCTCACAGTCGCCATCATTTAGCGTAGAAACTTTCATGCCTGCTGTCACCTTCTTCGAAGAAGGCATTTCATCTATAATCCACAAATTAAAACTTTTTTCATCAGCTGGTATGGATTCCATCAACTCGAAACTCCTCAAGAATGTGAAATCGACTTGCGCAGCATACTTATGTCTTACCTTCTTACAGTCACTCACCTCAGGAATCATGCCGGATGATTGGAAAACGGGCAAGGTCGTTCCAGTCTACAAATCAGGTAACAGAAACTCACCCTTGAACTACCGCCCCATTTCATTAACCAGCGTGCCTTGTAAGATCATGGAACACGTCATCTACTCACAAATCTTCAATTTTTTGGACTCCAACGAATTTTTTCATCCTTCACAGCACGGATTTCGAAAGGGCCTTTCTTGCGAAACCCAATTAGCACAATTCGTTCATGACCTACAGACTAATCTCGACTGTAATATCCAACCGACTCAATATTCCTTGATTTTGCAAAAGCTTTCGACAAGGTTCCTCACCAGCGTCTGTTACTGAAACTTTCAAAACTAAACTTGCATCCTAACATTTTCAGGTGGCTTGAGGAGTTTCTAACTAACCGCTCGCAATCTGTCTATCTTAACGGCCACCTGTCTAAACCACTCCCAGTCACCTCAGGCGTCCCACAAGGGTCTGTTCTCGGTCCTCTCCTATTCCTAATATATATTAATGACTTACCATTGCATGTTTCCTGTAACATTCGCATGTTCGCTGACGATTGCGTAATCTATCATACTATTACTAATTGTCATGACCATCACATCCTTCAGAGCAACCTTAACAATATAATAAACTGGTGTAATATTTGGCTAATGACCCTCAACCCCACTAAATGCAAACTCTTGTCCTTCTCTCGTCGTCACAATCCCTCTCGCTTTCAGTATTCTATTTCTAAATCATGTATCGAATTAGTAGAATCGTATAAATATCTAGGAGTCACCCTTTGTTCTAATTTATCATGGCGCGCCCATATTACAAACATCATTTCAGCATCGAACAAAACACTGGGTTTTCTTAAACGCCACCTTCGCCTTTCCCCACCACATGTTAGATTACTCCCGTATAAATCGCTTATAAGACCAAAATTAGAATACGCATCTGCCATCTGGAGCCCCCATCAAGCATACCTAATCACTGCCTTGGAAGGTGTTCAAAATCGGGCCACCCGTTTCATCCATTCCTCATATTCATATGACATCAGCATTTCACCATTGAAACATGAATCTGGCCTATCACTCCTTTCTTATCGTCGCCGCATTGCTAGCCTAACCCTTTATCATAAGTTTTTTTATTCTTCACTCAATCAAGCCCCTTATATAACAGCCGCCTCACGCATTTCCCACCGCACCAGTCATTCACTTCAAGTTGCCCGCCCGCCATCACGCACCACTACGTTTGCTGCTTCGTTTTTCCTCAGAGCAGCTTCAGACTGGAACGGCCTGCCCTACGACATTGTCACAATTGCCTCATCATCTACCTTCCTGGAACGCCTCACCGATCATCTGCCATGTTAATTCAATTTTAACTGTTTGTTTGCAATGTTAATTGAATCTCCGCTGTTTTGAATTGTAATCCCACCCCTTATGTAACACCCCCTGAATGGGGGCCTTTAAGGAAATAAAACTGAACTGAACTGAACTGAACATCCCTGCCTTTCTTTTCCCTCTATTTTCCTTCCTTCCTTCCGAAACTGATGCGACAGAGAGATGCCCCGTGGTGGCTAGTGACTAAGGTACTCGGCTGCTGGTCGCACTTCGCCGGACCGATTCTCGGCTGCGGCAGCTGCATTTTCGATTGAGGCGAAAATTCTGTAGGCCCATGTGCTCCTATTTGGGTCTTTCCGGAGCCCTACATGACGGTGTCTTTTATAATCATATGGGTAATTTGGGACGTTTGATCGCACATATCAATTAATGAATGAATGAATCAATCAGTCAATCAATCAATCAATCAGAGAAATGATTTAGTAGAATACAGAAAGGTCGGCTGGAAATAGTTCTCTCTAGCCTGCTACTCTGCACAGGCAAGAGGGACAGGAGAAAAAACAGAAGTAATGAATGGTGACGATGGGGACAGAAACAACTCATGCGCATAAAAGAATAAAACCAACCACTCAGCACTGTGGCTTCTCTAGACAGTGTCCAGTTCTGTACTCTTCAGGAAGTATATCACACTTTTAATAGCAGCTATTGATCTCGTCTAACTACACATTGCTGATACAGTGCGATTTTACCTTTACCTCGCCACACTAATTCCTTCCTTTGTTGAAGCGAAGGTTTGTCATTGCGACAAACAAATTAAGCAATCCCAAAATATATGCGCCATTGTTTCGCACACAGTTCTCTATGGCAGACATAACATACAGGTGGTAACCTGAAAATCATGACCTAATTTTCACGTATGGCACGACTTGAATGACATATGATGGATCGCTCGCGGCAGTTCATCAAGCTTGGGATCCACTAAAACTGGCATGAAGTGCTTTTCTGACGAACCTAAATGACAGGTGGCAATACGAAAGTGGTACCACGCATGATGTGCCTGCAGCGCATTACTTAAACTCAAAGCTCGTGATGCACTCCTGGCCGTTTAGCAAGCTTAAATTAGATCAAAATAGGTGTACGCAACAGTTCTCTATGACGAACGAGCAATGGTGCCACGGATATTATCACATGAATTGTCGTGTGCGGTATGATTCGCATGTCACTGTTTTAATGGACCTTTCTCACGAGCGCCGTCTGTGCATGAGCACCGGAAACACTTCAACGGCGCCACCCCGAAACAAATTTAGTGGCTCGTAGCCTCCGAAACCTGTCGACACAGCATCTCGAAGGCGATGGGTGCAAAGAAACGCGCAAGCTGAGACGCTGTCGCGTTTACTAGAAAGCCACCAAATATGCTTTTGGCTCTCGCCACCAAGGGCGCTGTACCTGTAGTGAAAAAGGTTAATTGCCGTGTTGCGGGCTATTTATACACTGGACAAATGCCAAAGGTCATATGGCATGAGAATAGTGCATGGCAAACAGAAATGACAGGTGGAACAGGACTTATCAGAACATACGTTTCAATAGGGTCATATATTCAAAATGGTACATTCCTTCATTCATGAAAACCATGCCGTTTAAATGAACTAGATTTTTCAAATAATTGACTTGATTTGCCTTCATACAGGGCAATGTATGCAGCTATCGGTTGGATGCTCGGTATTGCAGCGATTTTTACAGTGCCTGAGATATGCCTAATACTTTTTGAGCCGCTGCTCACACATGATTGCATGTAGTAATATTGAGAAGATCGTGGGCATAACGAAAGCCCAGCAAGAGCTCAAGGTGTGGTTGACTGGTTCAACTTGAAATAGGCCGTTGCCCGGCAGTAGTGGCAGTGACGCTGATCATGGCTATAATTAATCAATTAGATAACACATCCAGCATTACAGTTGTGGCGATAATTCATAAGCGATTTCGTCTCTGGGGGGAGGAGAGCTTACTCTGGTACATATCCTCGAAAAGCTGCTCAGGCGGGCGCTTACGCTCTCTATGCTCTGTAATAGAGCACGCACCTGCAAGCTAGTAGTGTAAGACATCGGCAATAGTGAACTTCAGTACTGCGTACGTAGTGTACGGAGCGGCGTAAGAATGCTGCGTTCCGCTAGAGCGCGTACGCGCAAATTCTGCTCATGCGTACTATGCGAAACGCAGCGTCCTTGCGGACGCAATGCTGTTGTGGACGCTACGTACACCACACAAAGAGTCGCTAATCTGAGAGAGTGGTCCTAGAATGCAGATGCCTTGCATTCTGCAGAATCACTCATCGTAACTGCAAGCGTGCCTCTGCTTGTATGAGGAGTCCTTGAAGATCATCAAAACAAAAATTTCCTCAGATGAAACTAAGCATTGTTGAGAGAAATGCAGTGGCAAAGTTGTCTGTTAGCTGCAGTGGAGGGGGTCATACTCACTCAGAGTGAACAAGAGTGTATCAAAAATCGAGAATTGCCAATGAGATGTGTAAAAAGTCTGTGGATGTGGGTAAAAATTCAAAGGGGTCCTATTGGTCAAGAGAACAGACACATCAAAAGCGGACGTGTGGTTAAAGTTAGTTAGGGGTCTTGCAATAGATTGTGGCTCAAAGTATCGTAGCTGTTTTGTAAGGCAGACCTTAAATACCCAATTTTTTTAGGGTTTCATATTTCATCGGCGTTTGTCTTTGTGTCTGTGCGCAGCACTTCCTACGCAGATGGTGGTCACATGGACAACTTTCGATCCGACTAACGATTCCCTGGTGGAGTTTGGCAAGAACGGCCTAGACAAGCAAGCAAGGGGCCACAGCACCAAGTTCTACGATGGTGGCTCCGAGAAGAGGCTCATATATATTCACAGGGTCTTGCTGGAAGACCTCATTCCTGGAGAGATTTATGGCAAGTATGAGCATGCAATAAGCAGGAAAGCTGATCATTACAGTGTTTTCTGCGTTTAAACACTCATCAATAGCTAAGAAAGTACGCGGAGTAAACCGAACTAACATATTAAGCCCCACGGAATAGCGTAGAAGCATCAGCGATAGAATGCGAAATACTGCAAAGTCGGGCCAAACCACCAGTAATGCCACACTAGCGGCGCTGTGCGAGGCTGCACAATGCCTTCTTCCAGGCCCGGCTTCATCCTACACCACCAACCTCCACAATACTCCGCTATCCTATCCGTTTCACCTACAGCTTGTCCATAACCTCGAACTTGGGTCACTCCTCCACTTTCCATTACTAAATTTTGATATACCCCACTGCTTAGGTCCATATTCTTTTCCTTCCCTTCCTTGCCGGCTCCCTGCTAGGCTTCACTATAGATTACCATGTCTTGCTCTATACTTTGGATATGTGGGGTTTAACATCACAAATCCACCATATGAATATGAGAGACGCCTTGCTCCATAATTTAATGTACTGCTAAGTATAACATGCATTGAAAAAGTAGAAAAAGCGAAAAGTAATGCGCAAACGAGTTCATGTCTTTCAGTCCAAGTTATACCTGGCTGCGCATAACAAAACGGCAGCATATCCACGGAGTGAACGATGGAGAGTGGGGCGAAGCATCCGTCCGTTCATTTGTTCTTGCTTTCGTTCGTCCATGCGTGCGTCTGTCTGGCCGCCCGTGCGTTCATCCACCTGTCCGTGCGTGCGCCTGTTCATGCGTTCGCGCGTCCATCTGTGCGTCCGTCCCTGCGTTCGTCCATGCATCCGCTCCTGCGTCCTTCCATGCGTCGATCCTTCCGTACAGCCATCTATGCGTCCGTCCATGCATCTGTCTGTGTGTCTGTTTGTCCACCTATTCAACTCTCCAAGTTCCACCATCTCGCATCTTTTCATGATATATTCCTCATATAGAAGCACCGCCATCCACCGTACATTCCAAGGAATAAACGAGAGGTGGCATACGTACACTTTCTTACGGCTTCCGCTTCGTGTCTACTTCCCACCTTTAACCACCTCAAGTTCGTGGTCTATACTAGTTCACTGCATTCATGGCACCGCGGCCCAACGCTCGCTAAACCTTCATAAAACCAAGGAGGTTACGCCCAACGAGTATATCATAGAAACCTTTTCCTCACAGATACGGCTCAATGTACATGCCAATGGCTGCTAATGGGAAATTAGAGACAGGAGAATTCGGCTTTTACTTTCTTACGGCTTGCGCTTCGTATCTACTTCCCACCTTTAACCACCTTGAGTTTATGGTATATATTAGTTCATTGTAATCATGGCACTGCGGCTCTACGCTCGCTAAACCTGTCTAAAAACAAGGAGGTTACGCCCAGCTAGTATAATGTAGCAACCCTTTCTTGTCAGATAATGCTCAATGTACATGCTAATGGCTGCTAAGGGCGAATGAGTGACAGGGTAATTAGGCTTTCAGTGAACGTGCACACTGCGAATGTTTTATTGTTCAACAACACAGAAGAAATCTCCCACCGGCACCACCTTGGAGGTCAAAATGTAAGACTGGTTACACACTACTACTACGACTATGAGGGACAAACGGGTGCCGCTATAAAGAGCTTCGCCCCTAAAATCCCCTATATTACCGAAATAAATCGTGAGGAAATGTGAATGCATTGTGTAGCGTCATAACGGCGTTTCATACGCGAGAACCCAGCGTTAGAAGAATAATGTTTTCCTATTTTTTTCTTGCAACGTGCTGCCAATAGCAACGTTCACAGCACGGGGCGTTTTTCTGTCGGGAGAAGCGTGGTATGCGTTTCCAGCTCTAGTACGTACAGCGTGTACGGTTAAAAAAAACTCCAAATCATTTCCCCGAGGGGGAACATGGTGAAGTGCCAATGCACGGGGTGATGCTATGAGGAGAAGTAAAGTTAAAATCCGTTGGCACTCGCAAGTGAGTTAACATACACTCCCCCGTGTTATCACATTGCGATTCCCAGGTACCATTAGGCCCTCTTGGGAAATCTTGCTGAGTTTACGCGTACATGTGAGAGTAAATTCGCACTATAATGACGTTCATGTCCGCGGCCCGCTTCGCCCGCTTGCGCTAGGCATTAGGGGCCCTTCGCCGCGCTGCCTTGTCTTCAACCAGCGCGACATCTTCAACGACGCGTGCGATGCTCGCATTCGATTGCGTTGTAGTCGTTCTTGGAGGTATCGCATTCGAGGTTGATGCCTGCGATAAATTCATACATATGACGGCTTGCCGATCTCGAGCAAGTCGTGGGGTTGCGCGCAGCCACGGAGCGGAGGGCGGAGCGCACGCAATCACGTGGTGTGTGACGTCGCTGCGCCGTTGCTACAGACGCTCCTCTCCGCTCCTCGCGCCGCTGCTAGGGGAGAGGAGGAGGCGCAGTGCGGACGGCGGATTCAGGGTAGCTTATAAAGTGCATTCGCACTTAGAAAGTACGTTGAGAACGCGCTGATTTCCAGCTGGGCCAAGGCAGCACAAATGCGACAAACGTGCTTCTAATGCTCTGAATTTTGTCGGTGGATAATCACGTTCAAGACAAAAAAAAAGGGGGGGGGGGGGTACCGGTTGCTCGAGGCAAAAATAAGCACGTGCGTACCCAGCTGTTGATCACAGCTGCCGACTCCAAAGTGTGACATGGTGGGAGCTCCGGTTGCTAGAGACGCGTGCGCCCGCAGCTGGTGCTATGGGAGAGGGTGGTGGAGAGATCCCAATGGACGCCTGACATGGCCCGACTAAGCAATGCATTCGCATTCAAATGAAGGCATATACCTAGTAGCTAGGCTATGCTTCGCCATTTCCTCTTCTAATGTCCATTTCCTTGCTTTTCTCCTCACTCTGTCATAACTCCTTATTAATGTCAATTTTCTTTTTTAGCCTTTGCTCTAATACACATGTTTATGTTGCGCATTACGCTCTCCCTTCTCCCTCAACTTCTCATTTTTCATCCGCACCCAGTCTGCTGCGGTGGTGTAGTGGTTAAGCTGTTCGCAACTACTAACGCGAAGGCCATTGTGGATTCGATCCCGGCTGCAGCGGTCCCATTTCGAAGAAGACTAAACGGCATCAGCGGGTGTAGAATGCTATGTCAGTGCACGCTAAACAAGATCAGATGGGCAAAATTACTGGAACCCTTCATTAGGCATCCCTTATAATCATATGGTGGTTTTGGAACGAGAAACATCAGATATTAAATGCGAAGCATTTCTTGGCGAACGTCGGCGACTTTGAGCGTATCTATCTATCTATCTATCTATCTATCTATCTATCTATCTATCTATCTATCTATCTATCTATCTATCTATCTATCTATCTATCTAGCCGCCTACGACTTTTAGCTCTCCTGGCCATTTCGATAATGGTAACTATACCAAACTTGGTGTGGCATAACATGACTGTATGGAGATTATATTTCATTAGTCGTGACAAGAATATCATGACAACTATGTCATGAATGTCATGACTTACATTTATGGTCCTGCAGCTCTTGCGGTGGTTTCGTTCGCATGGCTTGTTGTAAAGCTGGTATGGTATGACATGATTGCATGGCGAACACAAGTGACAGACCCTAACATGAAAATCATCACAAGCCTGTCTTGTAACAACATGACTACATACCACGCTTATAATGCGCTCTCACGTGTTTCACTAGCGTCGCATAGACCAAATTTGGTATCACGGTACGTGAATGGATAATGAAGGGTGGCCATTTCGCTAGCTTCACTTACACCATATTTAGTATTACAAGATGTGAATGAATGATGAAGATATGATACTGTTGCAAACATGATAAATATGAGATGCGTGTCAAGTAGCAACATGACTACATGCTACGCTCATGATGTGCTCGCAGCCGTTTCGCTAGCTTCACATGTACCAAACTTGGTATTACGCTACGCGAACGAATGACATGTGACACATCCAAACATAATAATCACGACATGCGCGTCATATAACCACATGACTACACGCCATACTCATGATGCGCTCGCGGCCGTTTCTCTAACTTCACTTGTGCCGAATTTGGTATTACGTGACGCGAATGAATGACGAAGGTATGTGGCTGGTGCAAACATGATAATCATGTGATGCGTGTCTCGTGAGAACATGTCTACATGGCACATGCAAGGTGCCAATACATTTCGACGTGACGCAGTGCGGCTGCTCACCAGCATTCATTTCATCACATTGCGACGGTGTTGCGATGCCAGGCGCCGGTTTTGCCATATACTCGCAGGCGGGCGCCACGCTGCGTTGTTTTGACGCATGTGCGTTTCAGCGTGTACGGCATCCCTCCGTCACGAAACGAGGGAGACGCAGTGTGATCTGGGTAACGCATCGGTGCGAATTTTGCGCCAGTTGCCGTCAGGCCGCGCCGACTGACGCTGGTCACACCGGTCGCGCCTGGCGTCAAACTATACAGTGCTCGCGTTTTGCTAACGTAGCGTCTCTGTGTCCAGAGTGCGCACGCGTCAACGCGACATTGAAGTATATTGGGCCTTTCAATATGCGCTCGCAGCTGTTTTGCTAGCTCCACATATACCAATTTAGTGTTATGTGACGTCAAAGGATGAGGAAATATATGACTGGCGCAAACAGGATAATCCTGACGCGCGTTTTATGTAAGAACATGACAACATACCACGCTAATAGCGTGCTCGCGGCCGTTTAGCTAGCTTCACATATACTAAATTTGGTATCACGTGACGTGAATGGATGACGAATGTAAACGTACATCCAAACATGATAATCATGACACGGAAGTCATGTATGGCATTATTTGTCTCCACCTCGTAACGCTGTGCTGATTTTAAAGTGACATATCAACCTTTCTTATTCGTGCTTCGCATATAATCAATTCCCATTGTAGGTGGGATCTGCCAATTTTTTTTTCATCCTCCTTTCATTTAATGCTCACGAGTCTGGTTCTCATAGAAGAACTGAAGGCTGT